GATTTATCTGTGGAGTATTTGTGTACTAAGGATCAGATTGCTGATGTGTTGACAAAGGGATTACATGGTCCAGATTTGCTGCGCCATTGTTTCAATCTTAAGCTTGGGTACCCCAGCAAAGATTGAGGGGGGGTATTGGATGAGTATATAGGCTAAGTAATAACTCCTACACGTGAGAAACATGTGCCTGTGTAGTTTACTAAATAAGATAGTATAAATAGCTTTTCCCTCTTTGATATTTGTACAGATTGTAATTTTCAGAAATATTGAGAGAAAGATATAAAGAGTTTTCTTTAGCTTCTTCTTCAAGCTGTCTTCCATTATCTTTCTTGATTTCTATGGAATCTGTCTCTGATGTTAATAGTTATTAGCACTTGTATGATCAGACTGTCCAGCTGGATGAGCAGGCCACTGAGAGACAATCCCAGCTTCTGGTTTCATTATTTTGTCCTTCATTGCTCCAGCACTGTTCACGAGCCACGTGTTTGTCTGTTTCTATACGATGTCGACGCGTTAGTCTGGTTCCAGAAGTTCTCTACCCTTCCTTTTTTATATCTGTTTCACAAAAGCTTTTCTTGTATAAACTGTATTTAACTCGGTCGGGTTTCCGACGTGGAACTTCACATTCTTCAACGCTTATCTCTCCCTTGTGTTTCCCGGACCCCAGCAAGCTAGTAATGACTTTGATTTTCTCCTATCTAATTCTTTTATAATCTATTTCTTCATCACTGTGCTTTAGTTCTTTGGAATTTGGAAGTTCCTAACCCAAATATACCCCAACACTGCGTTTGGATAAGAAAATTTTAGATTACTACGGAGGGGCCAACATTTAATCCTTAGCTACAGAGCATTTGAAAACTGAACGAGTTTAAGCTTATACGAAAAAGAGTTTCCATTGTAGCACAAGAGCACGTAACAGAAACAAGAAAAACATAACCAGTGAATTACCCCATCACACCGAAATCCATGCATTAATATATGACCACTCTTCATTAATATAAATTTCAAACCAGGTAGCATGTTATTCTGCACATGAAGCATTAGGAAAAATCTTCAAAGCTCCATCCATTCTCGCCTTAAATTCTTTGCGAACCTCATCGGTCATCCCTCCATTGCAGAGAGCACCAGAAAGTATCTTCAAAGTTATGCAATTAGGTAAGATTCCATGGCATAACATTTTGTCAAACAACCTTGTGGCTTCTCTCCATTGGTTGGTACGGCACAATCCATTAATCAAGGAGTTGTAAGTCACAACATCAGGCTTTTCCTCTCTACAAATCATGTCGTCCACCAGATTCAGCGCCTCTGCTGTCTTCCCTTCCTTGCATAAAGCATCCAGTACATAATTGTATGTAACAATATCTGGCAAGACTCCATAACCAATCATGGTTTTAAATAACCTCACACCTTCCTCCCAGTTACCAGACTTGCACGAAACAGAAATCAAGGAATTAAAAGTGATAACATCAGGCTTTAGGCCATTCGTTGTCATCTTTTCAAGCCGAGTAAGCGCTTCTTGAATTCTTTCTTCCCTGCAAAGACGGCTGATAAGAACATTATATGCGTATACATCGGGTGAAATTCCACTGTTAGGCATGCAAATCAAGAAGCTCTTGGCTTTTTCAAACCTTCCTTATTGGCACAATGCATAAATTAGACTGTTACAGGTGACAACATCTGGCCTGACTCCTTCATCCACCATTCCTTCAAACAGACAGAGCACTTCTTCCCAGCGTCTCATGTTGCATAACCCATGAATCAATGAGGTATAACTGAAAACATTCGGTAAAACACTTTTGCTACGTACTTATCCAATCACTAATTTTTTTTTTGTTTCATTCTAAAACCATAATTTTTGTTTCACATTCTAAACCCCTTAAGTAGTGAACCAAAAAATAACATTGTAGAATCCCCCAATAAGCAAAGCCAAATCCTAGAACCATAACCAAAGAAGTATTAAAAAATCAATATCCTGATTAATGTAGGGCTTTGTTTGAAACTGCTTTAAAAATAATTTTTTAGAGAAAATATTTTTATATTCCAAAAGCATTTAAAATATTTCTTGCAAGAAGATAATTATGTGCTTTTTGCACGAAACAATAAAATGTTTTTCTATGACTCACTTGCATTTTTACTAAGTATTGGTTCCAAAAATATTTTTACCAAAACCGCGTTCAATTATTTTAAAAGCGGGACTCGCCGCAAACGAGTTCACTTCTAGAATACCGCAAATGAGTTCACCTTGCTGTGACTAATTTTGAGTTTGCTCCATGAGTTCATTGTTTCTTGTTTTCAACGGATTGTTGTAGGAGAACGTTGCTGGCTGAAGCACATAATTCAAAGAGCAAACAACTTCATCATCAACATCTACACACTGAATGAGTTGTGCCTTACATAAAATTTCATTTTACTCCTTACGCTCTATTTGTGACACATGTAACATTATTACCAAATGATTTTTGAAGAATTGGGTAAAAGGATAATGACAAATAGAATTTTGCACTTTCAAAATGTGAAAATGTGTTTGGTAGTCTGATTTGAAGATAATGTAATAGAATGAAAACATTGAAAATGCGCTACGACCAACATCTTTAATGATATATATATATATATATGTATATATATATCTATGTATGCATATATATAAATTCGTCTTTGGTAGTAATAGCGACAGATAGTAGTTGAGACAACACGAAGCAATGGTATTTAGAGTGGTGGTACTGGTAGTAGTTGTGAGTGGTGACAAACGACAATAGAGGTGTTAGTAACGGTGGGATTTAGGTGGTGACAAGAACGAAGTATAGGGCAATGGTGGCATAGTGGTGGTGGTGGCGATCCCTATGATGGTGAAAAATCATGGTTGTGTTTAGTGGTGGAGCCAAATTAAGGGCTACCTCGGGCTATAGCCCCAGGTAGCTTTCGATGAAAATAAAATTTTGCATGTAATTTTCATTAATTTTCGAATGTAGCCCACCATATATTTAGTCTCTAATCCAAATTCTTTCGGTTTAATTATATAATACATTTTACAAACAATCTCTTTTTCTTACATCATTTTTTCTCATCGCTTCTTGTACATGTACAATTTTGGACATGTTTGAATTTTCACCTGTATTTGTTTAATAACGAAAACTCTTAGCTCACCTTGTGAAAATTTTCTGAAGCTAGCTGGTAATGTGAAAAATACGATATCAAGTTTCTTTGTTTATATATTTAAATTTTTAAGCTAGCCCACCCGGTGAAAAATTTCTAGCTCTGCCATTGGTTGTGTTAACAATGGTTGTGAAAATGGTGGTTGAGAGGTGGCGGGGATGATGGTGGCAGAGATTGTGGAGGTGCTGGAGGCCATGGTGAGGGTAATGGGTTGAAGAATGCGGTGATGGTGGTGAGAGGTGGTGGTGGTGGTTATAGTTGTAATGGTGGTGACCTCAACGGTGAGACGGTGGAGGTAGTTATAGCATTTTTTTTTATTAAAACTCAAACTTTTTTATAGTGTATCTTTATTTTCTATTATTTTGGAATCTATTCTTGAAAAACAAAGAAAACATCAACTTCATATTTTATAGAACTTTGGCTAAAATTATTTTATGAGTTTTTTGTTTTCTGAGTTTATTTTCACAAAATAGTTTGCCAAACGCATTTTTCGTCCGTTTTGTATCTGCAAAATGAAAACATATTTTGCAAAGGGGCAGTGAATTATATCTCAAGGCCTTGGGGCTCAAAATTTTCTAGTCTATTGCGTTTAGTATTGTTTTGTGATGCATATTTGTACAATGAAAAACCTCGGGATTAAAAACTTAATTTATAAGTTGTGAATAAATTGTATTGGTTGCATTAGCGCTCGAAGATCATTTTTTGACTCGAATATTGTTTATGAAGATTGCAGTTCTATAATCTTTCATATAATTTTCAATCCTGCAGTAATGCACGGATACAAATTCTAGTTCTGAACTATTGATGCACTAATAATTGCGTCACCTGGATGCTATGGTGAATTGTTTGTGTAGCTTAGTCCTTGTTGAGATTAAATTGCTTGCTAGTGGTAATGATTGTGTAATGATAAAATCAAGCTAAATACGGATTGGACTTTTAATAGTTACCTATTAATAACTCAATAGGTTGATTTGTCATATATGATCGAAAAGACAATTCCAAATCTTAGACAATCTCTAATAGTGAAGAACTATATTTTTAACCCTCCATGAATTTTTTTATAAAAAAAAAAGATATTTGTTAAAAATAAAAACCTCTAGTACAATCATTATCAATACAATCGAAATTAATGACATTGAGTGCAATAAAAGGTAAGCCATAATCCTAAATATGAGGATTCTCAATCGGCATCTCTCCATGATTTTATAGTCTGAAATTCATTTGTTTTTTATCTTCTCATGGATTTAGAAAGAAAAAAAATACTCAATAGAAAGTGTTCGGAAATTTCTCACAAGAAATTGTTCATTAACTGATTGAAAAAAATTCGCAATTTTGTATGTAAAGGTAAAGCACTTGAAGGGAGGCCCCATCCGATGTGCCCCTTTGTCGACTTTATTGAAAGAAATTGTCGTCAACTAACTTAAAATATTCGTAACTTTGTACCTAAAACGCGGAAAGGAGCCCTCATCCCATGTGCACCATTTTTTTACTTTTGTGACCGTCCGTCTCTCACTCATCTTTTACTTTTCTGACGGAGATCCTCTTCACTAGGACCAACTCTAATGGTAGGCTAAAAGCCAAATTACCCTCCAAAATTTCCTCCCAAACCCACTCCAACTCAAGGGGAAAATTTGGGCTAAATGTTAAATGCTAAACCAAGCCAAATTCCCCCCAAAATTTAACCTAGAAATCGGAGTGAACTTCAACCAATATTTATCGGAATTTAAATTTTTTTAGATTAAGATGTTCATAAAATTAATTTACGATAGTCTACATATTTATTTTTTTAAAAAAAAATTTAATTTAACAAAACAAATAGCCGAAGTTCATTTTTAATAATCCTCACTCCCTTACCGATTCCCTCCCGCCATTCTCTGTCTTGCCAGCCGCAAACCCCTTGACATCGCATATACCAGCTGAGACCGTCGTCATCGTCACCGTATGAACAAATCTATGCTCAGAAATCAGAGATGAGAGCCCCAAGACCGTCGCCTGCACCCCCGTCTCAGAAAAGCCTTGTTTTCACGGTAAAAACCCAGAAACTTGAGGTACGAAAATTTCAAAATTTTTGGTGTTTTTGATTTATTTTCAGTGTTAATTTCTGATTAAATTATTATTTTTGATAAACCCATTCAGAATCTGATCTGGGTTTTGCCTGGATTCCAGAGTAAAAACCTTGAAACTTGAAGGTATAAAAATTTCAATTTTTTTTATTTTCAGTGTTACTCTCTGATTAATATTATTCTGGGTTTTGCAGATATGCTATTCTTGCTGAATACCTGCCATGTAAGTGATTTAATTTTTGCTTTTCGAATTTCTACTTTTCATGCATAATTATGAACATGTAGATGATTTGTGGGTAATTTTTTTTTTTTTTTTTACTTAATCTCCAATTCAAAGTGAAGGATATTGAATTTTGTTATCATTTTTAATTTCAAGAAACGCAGTCTGTGCTGCCTCTTCCGTTCTAATTGGAAGAAGATTTCTCAAGCGGCTATAATTTCATGGCGGGTTGGTTTAAATCAGTTCCAAAATTTGGGATCGTTTGGGATATTTTTAGGTTTTTCTGTCCCGCTCAAATCTTGGCTCGCTAAAAAAACCGAAGCAGTTTAAGCTTCTTCAGCTTTTTGATTTGGATTGAAGATGATTTTTAGCCAAAAAGGCTAATGTTTTGTGGTAAGTTCTTTGAATCCTGCATCTGGGAGTTTTTATTTTTATTTTTCCAAAGCTGTGGGATTTGTTTTCTTCAATTTTAAAATATTACAATTGAATTCTTTGTTTGGGTAAAACTTTAATTAGATTCTGTATGGGTTCTGATGAGGCACTGAATTGGGTTTGAGAGTTTTGATATAATGAGAGAGGTAGGGAGTATATAGGGAGAGAGGGAGGTAGGTGATTTGCAGAAATGGAGGGTGAGAGAGAAACGGGAGAAAAGGGGTGGTACATTATATTTTGATTTTATAATTTTGGGGGTTTTGTGTTTAAACTTTTTTAGTACTTTTTTCGCAGTTATAGCCTTCAAATGTTGTACATAATCATTACTTCCTATTACAATTATTAAAGCTAATTCAATTAACTAAAGTTGATGATGGCAACTACTAACAACAAAACAACAATCTCCTTAGATTAAGGAGAAAGAACTCTGCTGCAAATGTCAGAGAGCTTTCAGTTTACATGTAAAGGAAAAGTATACAATAATTCCAATAATATTTTTCTTCTAACACTGTTAACTTACCGCGTTCCTTATTGTCAAGCATATAGTTTTCAGTGATCTCTGGACAATCCCTACATATGCATTGTATTTGTATTTTAGTTTCACTTAGTTGAAGGTTTTGAAAAATTTCATTTAATAAATCCAAAATGCGTATTCCTTTAGGAGCCGTTTGATAACCATTTGGTTTTTAGTTTCAATTTTTTGTTTAGATTTCTTTATGGGCATTTACGATAACTTTACCTTAGTATATGTAGATTTAATATTACAATTTAGTATAAATTTATATATTATCTTCTTCTTAGGTTCTTCAAGCGTTTAACTTCTTAGAATATCATTTTTGAAAAAAGTTGGAGTAGTGCATTTTATAGTGTGGTTGAAGTGGGATTTTTGAGAGGGACTGGTGGATCTTTGAAAAGTAACTTGGTGGAGGTAATACTGAGTTTAATAGAGTTTGGTGTTTTGCATCCATTGAACAAATTTTATAAACACTGAATTTGAAAATTGAATATACAAATAAAATAGTAGGTCAAATTCATTATTAGTTCTCTTAACTTCTGTTGAATAATTTATACTATTGTAGGTTTAATGAATATTATCTTTAGTTGATAATTAATTGATGATTTTGAAGTGTGTAATATCTTTTGAAATGTATATAAAAACCAAGCTGCTTATCTGACCGATTCTGTTCACTCATCTATCCCTCTTTCAATCAGGATTATGTTTAATTTATTCAGGTTAAATGTGTTTTATTCATGCAGTTAAGGCTCGTGCATTCAAGTCCTAAGAAGCATCGTCATTCGTCACCACTCCTCATTCTAAAGTCAACTATTAATTTGTGAACAAGTTAATACTTATGAATCATGTAGCCTGTCAAACATTAATTGAATCTCTATCGAAAGAATCATTTGTTTGCAACAATCATCTGGTCGGCTTCTATGGCTAAAGAAGCAGCAGCAGCAGCTGCCTCATCTTCTCCTCCTCCTCCCTGTTTCACCAATCCATGGAAATACCATGTATTCTTGAGTTTCAGAGGCGAGGACACGCGCTGCAATTTCACAGGCCATTTGTGTAGAGCTTTGCGTCAAAAAGGAATTAACACCTTCATGGATAATTGTCTTTCAAGAGGAGAAGAAATATCAACAGCGCTCCTCAAAGCGATTGAAGAGTCGAGGATTTCTGTCATTGTATTCTCCGAAAACTATGCTTCCTCAATGTGGTGCTTGGACGAACTTGTTAAGATCCTTGACTGCGAGAAATCCAATCAACAAACGGTGATACCGGTATTTTACAAGGTGAGTCCCTCAGATGTTCGAGATCAGAAGGGTTGTTTTGGTGAGGGACTTGCTGGCCTTGAGTGCAATTATCAGGATAACGCTGACAAGATCCACAAATGGAGAGCAGCACTTTCAGAAGCAGCAAAGTTGTCTGGGTGGACTCTCTCGGATAAGTATACATTATTACTTTAACACTTCCTTCTGCTTTCGCTTGTTTCAATTTCTCTACTCTCTTGGTATATATAGATTTAATTTTTTTGTGATAGGATCAAGAATCAAAAGACCCAACATGTCATCGATTTGTGGCCTTTGTCATCCATTTGTGGCCTTGTCATCCATTTGTGCATATTTGGAGTCAAATTTAGTGGACAAAGTAGTGTCTCTAGCATCCTTTGTAAATATAACTGGAAGGACATTCTGTTCTACTTTTGTATGTGTGTATATTTTCTTCCCTCTTTTGAAAAAACATGGGAAAATGTCATTTATAAGATGTTCCTTGTGATTTTATACTCGCAGGCATGAAGATGAATCGAAACTTATTCATAACATTGTTGAAGGGATTTCCACGCAACTAATAAACCGTACATCTTTGGATGTGGCCGAATACCCAGTTGGAATAAAGTCTCGTGCACAAGAAATAAATAACCTCTTACATGTCGGGAGAAATGATGTCCGTATGGTAGGTTTATGGGGGACTGGTGGAATTGGTAAATCAACAATTGCCAAAGCTGTTTATAATTTAATTTCCCACAACTTCGAATGCAGTTGCTTTCTCAGTAAGGTTAGAGAAAGTTCAATGACAGATAAAGGATTGGCCAAATTACAAAAGACACTTCTTTATGAGATTCTAGGGGGAGACAAGTTGAAGGTGGCCAATGTTGATAAAGGAATCACTTTAATTAAGGAAAGATTAAGCAGTAAAAGGATTCTCTTAGTTCTTGATGATGTGAACGACATGAGACAGTTACGCTGCTTAGCTGGGGGATCAGATGGTTGGTTTGGCATTGGGAGTAGAATTATCATAACGACAAGGGATAAGAAACTGTTAACTGCTCATCATCATAATATTTCAATATACGAGGTGAAGAAATTGAACTATCATGAAGCTCTTGAGCTCTTCAGTTGGAATGCCTTCAAAAGCAATGGACCTTTGGATGGTTATGCGAAACTTGCAGACCATGCAATACGGCATGCTCAAGGCCTTCCATTAGTTTTGAGAGTTTTAGGTTCACATCTGTACCGTGAAAGTATAGATCAGTGGCAAGCTATATTAGATGGTCTGATCAAAAGCCGAGAAATTCAAGACGTTTTCAAGATAAGTTATGATGCATTGGATGAAATAGTGAAGGAAGTTTTTCTTGACATTGCGTGCTTCTTTAAAGGGGGAAGCAGTAACTATGTGATCGAAATATTAGAAGGTTGTGAGCTAAACCCCAAGCATAGCATTGACGTACTCATACAGAAGGCCCTCGTAAATATAGATCATGGTTTTATATGGATGCACGATTTGGTAGAAGAAATGGGTAAAGAAGTAGTTCGTCAACAATCACCCAATGATCCTGGAGAGCGCAGCAGATTGTGGTTTCATGACGATGTTTATCGTGTTCTGACAGAAAATACAGTAAGTCCATTCGACGACATTTTATTTGTTAATGAGACATGCATTTTGTTTTATAAGGAACTTGCATTGTTAATACCTTTGAATTTTCATACTAGGGAACGAAAAACATTACAGGCATAAAGGTACAGTTGCTTGAATCGGATAATGAGATATGCTTGAGTGCTACAACCTTCTCCAACATGAAAAATCTTAAAATTTTCATAAACTGTAATGGACGGTTTTCTGGAGCCGTTGATTACCTCCCCAACAACTTAAGGTTAGTTGATTGGCCTGAATGTCCGTTGAAATCTTTGCTGCGCAATTTTAATCCGAAGAATCTTGTTATACTCAACATAAGGAACAGCCATATCAGAGGATTCGGGGAGGGATTGAAGGTATATACGTTGATCTTTTTTATTTATGTTTTATTTAAGGCTAAAGAGTCTTTCTTTTTTCTGTGTCCCTTTTGAAATGTTTTCATCCTTTCCTCTCTTTTTTTCCTCACAGAACCTGACGAAGCTGATTTTATCTGGCTGTCAATACTTAACAAGAATCTCCGACTTCTCCGGAGTTCCAAACTTAGTGCAGTTGAGTCTAAGGGATTGCACAAATTTAACTGAGGTTGATCCATTAGTTGGATTTCTTGATAAACTTGAAGAACTATGTCTTGTTAACTGCTATAACCTTACACTGTTTCCAACAACAATAAGCTTGAAATCTCTGAGAACTTTTAATCTTGGCGGTTGCAAAAAGTTTGAGATATTCCCGGAAATTGTGGGCAAAATGGAAAGCCTAAATATTTTGGAACTTGGTGGAACCGCTATAAAAGAATTGCCTCCATCAATTGAAAATCTCACCGGGCTTGAATCCTTATCGTTAAATGGAAGTGAAAACATTGCAAATCTGCCGCAAAGGATTTATGCGCTGCCCCGTCTTGAATATCTTGATCTCAGTGACTGCCCAAAGCTTGTTACACTCCCTCCGGAGCTTCCAACTAACTCAAACATTTCATTTGACAACTTTGGGTCAGTAGCATTTCCCAATCTAAGGACTATACTTTTTGATGAATGCAACTTATCGGACATTGATACCCTTGCAAATTTCGGTTGCTCATCTAAATTAAAAGAAATTTTTCTATGTAATAGCCATATTGAGAGTCTTCCCGCATGCATTGGCAAATTTGCGTGGTTGGAGGGTCTTGATTTGTTTGGTTGCAAGAAACTTCGAGAAATTTCAGAACTTCCACCAAAGATGAGATGGATTAACGTTGGTGATTGCATATTACTGGAAATATTTCCAACGTTGTCGGAGATGATACGGGGAGATGGAGACATGAGACTCATTCGTTGGATGGACATGTCTAGTTGCCAAAGGCTGTGCGAAAATTTGGCTTTGGACGTCTCCATGATGGCAAGCGTATTACTGCATCAGGCACTTTTCTCTCTTTCTCTTTTCCATTTTTCCACTCTTCCACTATGAACGACTAATTAACATTTCATTATATGAATCTTACAGGCGGGGAAGTGCAATGAAGCGATAAGTATTATACTTCCAGGCAGTGAAGTTCCAAATTGGTTCAGTTGCCGTAAGGACGTACGTGTGACTGATCCTGGTTGTTCATGTGAAATTTTTATTGAAATCCCTCGGACTTTCAAATGGAAAAACACAGTACTTGTTTTCTGTGCTGCTTTCAAAATCACGCAAAATTTTTCAGGAGAATGCTGTTCTTATACACAGACTACAGTCGATGGAGTATCTATAAATATTTCTGGTGATTGTTCGTTTAGTTCAAAAGAGACAGATGCAGCTCTTGTGTGGCTACAATATATTCCATTACCGGCTCACATAAAGTCGAAGGTGGATGAGGGTGGTGATCAATCAAAGCCGTATCTGTGTCAAGTTACACTTGGCCGCTACGGCGGAGAAGGGTTGCTCTTAAATGGCTGCGGTGTCCACTTGGGAAATTTCAGTATGCACGAGGATGGTGGTGAAGATTGACGACAATGTAGGAGGCGAAGTTGGACCAAGAAAAAAGAAAAGGATGTTGGCGATCAAGAGTTGAATGTGCGTTGCAACATTTTCAAATCTCTAATCATGTTTTTATGATGGTCATTCTTGTTTTGAAAGGATTTCTTCTGCTAACTCAACAAGTGTGTGGTTTTATACAAAGTGCAAACAGTGAAACCATGAAATATAAACTGTATTCATTTCGGTCAGGTTTCCGACGTGGGACTTCACATTCTTCAACGCGTCCAAGAAGGCCATTGATATACGATTCCTCTCATCTCTCTCTTGTGTTTAAGGCAAGGATTTGGCTCCATTTTAACGCTCTCTCCTGTTTTTCTTCTGTTTGTTTTAATTTCTTAGAGATTAACGCTTTGTGATTTTCGTTTACGGAAAACTAATCTCCATAGCTACGGCTAGGAGATAAACCTACACTATAACTGTGTACTTTTATTATTTTGATTTTATTTTTTATTTTATTTTGGATTTTCAATGTCAAATTTATATTGTGGAATTTCTTGTTTAATCTATTTTTGGAATGATGAATATTAGTTATGATCCATAGGATCAACCTTTTTTTTTTGTTCTTTTTTTTTTTTTTTTTGTAGTTCTATTTCAACATTCATGCTTTTAGTGAACTATATAAATTGATTGATTGGTATGATTTTGGATGTTCGATTTAATCACCAAAAGGTTTTATATTGAAAAAACTTAACTGTCATATCTTCTGATTGAGAGCGCACGTTGTTTGATTATCAGTTGAGTTACAAAAATGAATCGAAATAGTGGAATTGCATAATTGTATATAGGCGGAACCTCATATCTTTGCCTTTTCCTTTCTGCCCTGCAAACAATATTCACTAACCAGCGTACTGCAAGTTATTGTGCTGAGTTTCATACCGTATTCAATTGTTACCTCAAATATTTTGTGAGTCTTTTCTGTCATCCCACCTTTGCAGATAGCATCCAAAAGTATTACCAAAGTAACGGTATTAGGCAAGAGTCCCCAGCCTACCATATCATCAAACAACCTTGTTGGCTTCTTCCAATTGAGCTGTACGACACATGCAATTGATCAAACTGTTGTAAGTGATAACATTTAGGGCAATACCTTCATCCAACATTCTATTCAACACCCTTGTAGCTTCTCTCCATTGGCTGGTCCGGCACAATCCATTAATTGAGGAGCTGTAAGTCACAACATCAGGCCTTTCTTCTCTTCGGATCATTTCTTCCACAAGATTCAACGCCTCTGCTGTCTTCCCTTCCTTGCATAAAGGATCCAGAACAACAATATTAGGCAAGGCTGCATAACCAATCATGGTTTTGAATAAGCTCACACCTTCCTCCCAGTTACCAGACTTGCATGATGCAGAAATCAAGGAAGTAAAACTGACAACATCAGGCTTTATGCCTTTCGTTGTCATATTTTCCAACAGAGTAAGCGCTTCTTAAATTCTTTCTTCCTTGCAAAGACTGCTGATAAGAACACTATACGTGTATACATCTGGTGAAATTCCACTGTTGAGCACACAAATCAAGTAGCTCTCGGCCTTTTCCATCCTCCCCGATTGGCACAATGCATAAATTAGAGTGTTGTAGGTGACAACATTAGGCTTGACTCCTTGATCTACCATTCCTTCAAAAAGAGAGAGCACTTCTTCCCAGCGATTCATGCTGCATAACCTATGAATTAAAGTGTTACAAGTGACAGTATTTGGTACTACACTTTTGCTAGTCATATCCCGAAATAGGGTCAAGGCCTCATCTATTCGGCTTTTTTTACACAGGCCATTGATGATTGGAATGTTGCATCCTTGGTCGGGCTTCAACCTCCCATCTTTCCACATCATTATTAGTATCTCGAGTGCCTTAGAAGTTTTCCGAGCTTTGCATAATCCATTTATCGTAGTAGCATAAGTGATTTCATTAGGCTTGACTCCTTGATCCGTCATTTTTTCAAACAGAGAGAGCACTTCATCCCACTGACTCATGTTGCCTAACCCATGAATCAAAGTGGTATAACTGATAATATCCGGTACAACAGTTTTGCTGATCATATCACCAAATAGAGTCAAGGCTTCATTTATTCGGTTTTCTTTACAAAGGCTAGCGATGATTGGATTGTAGCATGCTTGGTTTGGCTTAAACCTTCCGTCTTCCCACGTCTTGGTACCATAAGTGCTTTCGTCGCATGCGTATCCTTTTGTTTCTATTTCTTGGAAGAACGCCATTGCCTCTGCCAGGGAACTATTCTTGCAGAGCCCGTGAAGCAAACTAGCCATAAAATGAACAGAGGAACACGCGTCCCCCCAATTCAGACGTCACAAGCAATTTGCAAAAATAGTCATTGTACTGACATCACGTTGGAACTGAGCGCAACCCATCAACTGTTTGCACATACAAACGGCGGTAGAATATTGTTTCATCTTGGAGAGTGCCCCAAGCAAACAATTGAAAGTCCAAATAGAGGGCAAGTGTCTTGTTTGAATCATGGAATTTAAGTAACCCAATGCTTCATCTTTCCTAATTTTTCCAGATTTGCATCGAGTTTGAATCATACTCTCCGACTCCAAATGGGATTGTTTAATTCCATCCGTACAAGTAGGATTAGCATGAACAGCGTCGGAATGAAATCCACCACTTGTATTCTGCAGAAATGTAAAACGGAAGGAAGGAAGATTACCTGGAGATGGAGGTCTTGTGGTTATCCTCTTCATAGGAGCTCTTAAACTACTATTCTATCAAATTTCACTAGCATTCTGGCACACACAAAGTTTGTGGGAATTTTTTTTATTTTTGTTTTTGAAATAGAAGAAGAGAGGAAGGGAGTGATAGATAATATGGGAGTGAGAAGTTTTTTATTTTTATTTTTATTTTTATAATTAGAGATATGTTAGGATCACATATAGGTGAGACTTTGAAAAAAAAACAACAAAATTTGGTTGTGTGAAATTACATTTCCACCCCATATTTCTTATTCATGTTCTGCTTTAATTAGAGGGTTAAACTAATAATTTTATAAGATTTTGGTTCACAAAGAATGTTTTATGAATTAGTAGAGATGAATATTAAATGACTACTCTATCAAATTGCTACTTTAAGCTTATGCTTCAATATAGGGTGTTTTTTTTTTGTTTTTTAATTTTTAATTTTTTTTATATTTTAGGCTACGCAAGCTTGGATAAGTATGCCAGACTTCAGAATGCCAATCTATTTAAGAAATTTGGAATTGGATGTCACTCATCTTTAATCGATCATATGCATATGTGTTAGTGCAAAATTGACAATTCTTAACAAAATACCTAAGTCTTTATGTCGTAGATTAGTGCATGTTTCAATTCTAATTATTTAAGTCTAAATTTGTCTCTCTCGTTTTCGATCACAAAAATAGCAACGTTTCAGCAACATCAACTGAGATAAATTTGACATGCGTATCATTCATATAGTTTAAGTTTGTATTTAATGGGCTAATTTGGATTAATTTATTAATATTTATATAGGGGTCTAGGTTCATAAGTGGTGGCTGCGAATAACACACACGAGATTAACATAGCATTAGCATCGAGTGCATCAGAATGTATGTTTTGGCTGCCACATGCGATTTTGTATTGAAAAGAAAAAGAGGTGTTGTTGCTGCCCTTGTGTTTTGAAAGGAAAAAAGTGGATTGCTTTATTCGTCAGTCTTTCAACAAGGCATTAGCACCGACTTCTTGATCTTGAGATTGCGATCGGGGAAAAAACAATTCTCGACCTTTGGATACTCAAGCTTGAAGACAAGGCTGCTAGTTTTGCGAAGTTCACGAATCGTTGGCATCGGATTCGGTCACAGTGATTATATTCGTGAAAGTATAAACACGTCGAATCGACACCAAACTATATGGACACAAGTACTCAAATGAGATGTATGTCTTGATGGTAAATGTGGTTCGGCCGTCAGAATGCCGAACTCTGAAACTCACTTGTGAGTATCCAATCATAAAATCACTCGGCGTTCAATGTGCCGAATGTCATAATTCGTAACACCTTACTTCGTCGAGAAGACTAATAAGATGACCTTTGCCAATAAGGATTTGGAAACCTTTCTCGACCGAGACTTGGATAGGTAACCAGTCGGCCTCGACGCAGTGCTGTTTATCCAAACTGATGGTTCTCCTTGGTTGATTGATTCTACGACAACAATGCTGTTTATCCAAATTGAAGATGTGTTGGCGGAAAAAGAAAATAAAAAATCTCAAGTTGTTTGAGAGGTTTGCGCAGAGCAATTGTGTGTTGAATTGGATAGGGCTTCTTCCGTTGCCATTGCATCTGTATTTATAAGACTAATGTACTTGCTTGGCACGGCCTGATCCTAGGGTAGAGTCCTGTTTCAAATTCCCATGTATCTGACATGACTTGATCTTTAAAAGATTGCATTTGATCTTTGGTGACGTGGCTTCACCACTTGTTTTCCTCCATCCATCTTCACAGCACCAACCCGAGAAACATGCATTAAAAACCTAGCCTTCCAAAAAACCTATGTTCCTAGGCTTTATCTAAATGAATATTAAATTCATTTCTAATTATCACCATCTCATAATTTCATCCCATCCATGCATCATGACTTTTCAAACCTCATCATCAAAAATCTAGCCTATCTAGGCTTCTTACCTCATCATAACTCCATCACCATCAAATCCTAGGCTTATCATATCACCACCAAAAGCCAAGCCTATCTAGGCTTTTGCATGATCACCATACCTGCACTTATCCAATTGATGTCGTGCATATCCCAATATTCCATGTGTTCAAATTAATTGGGATTTAGACAAATATTAGGTTTAAATAATTTAACATATTACTACGAGATAATATCATGATTAAAATCACAACATTATTTTCTCAATAATAATTGAAAATTATTTCAACCACTTTGTCATTCAATAGTCTAAAATTATGCTTATCCAACGACCTTGATTACTCGAGCCGATAGTGTAAAATCGGGTCCAAACAATAATACATTTTACAAACAATCTCCTTTTCTTACATCATTTTTTCTCATCGCTTATTGTACATGTACAATTTTGGACTTGTTTGAATTTTCACCTGTATTTGTTTAATAACGAAAATTCTTGACTCACCTTGTGAAAAATTTCTGAAGCTAGCTGGTAATGTGAAAAATACGATATCAAGTTTCTTTGTTTATATATTAAAATTTTTAAGCTAGCCCACCCGGTGAAAATTTTGTAACTCCGCCATTGGTTGTGTTAACAATGGTTGTGAAAATGGTGGTTGAGAGGTGGTGGGGATGATGGTGGCAGAGATTGTGGAGGTGGTGGATGCCATGGTGAGGGTAATGGGTTGAAGAATGCGGTGATGGTGGTGAGAGGTGATGGTGGTGGTTATAGTTGTAGTGGTGGTGGCCTCAACGGTGAGACGGTGGAGGTAGTTATAGCATTTTTTTATTTATTAAAACTCAAACTTTTTTATAGTGTATATTTATTTTCTATTATTTTGGAATCTATTCTTGAAAAACAGAAAGCATCAACTTCATATTTTATAGAACTTTGGCTAAAATTATTTTATGAGTTTTGTTTTCTGAGTTTATTTTCACAAAATAGTTTGCCAAACGCATTTTCGTCCGTTTTGTATCTGCAAAATGAAAATTTATTTTGCAAAAGGGCAGTGAATTATATCTCAAAGCCTTGGAGCTCAAATTTTTCTAGTCTATTGCGTTTAGTATTGTTTTGTGATGCATATTTGTACAATGAAAAACCTCAAGATTAAAAACTTAATTTATAAGTTGTGAATAAATTGTATTGGTTGCATTAGCGCTAGGAGATCAATTTTTGACTCGAATATTGTTTATGAAGATTGCAGTTCCATAATCTTTCATATAACTTTCAATCCTGCATCAATGCACGGATACAAATTCTAGTTCTAAACTATTGATGCACTAATAATTGCGCCACCTGGATGCTATGGTGAATTGTTTGTGTAGCTTAGTCCTTGTTGAGATTAAATTGCTTGCTAGTGGTAATGGTTGTGTAATGATAAAATCAAGCTAAATAGGTCTTGGACTTTTAATAGTTACCTATTAATAACTCAATAGGTTGATTTGTCATATATGATTGAAAAGACAATTCCAAATCTTAGGCAATCTCTAATAGTGAAGAACTATATTTTTAACCCTCCATGAATTTTTTTATGAAAAAAAAGATATTTGTTAAAAATAAAAACCTCTAGTACAACCATTATCGATAGAATCGAAATTAATGACATTGAGCGCAATAGAAGGTAAGCCATAATCCTAAATATGAGGATTCTCAATCGTCATCTCTCCATGATTTTATAGCCTGAACTTCATTTGTTTTTTATTTTTTCTTAGAATTAGAAAAAAATACCCAATAGAAATTGTTCGGAAATTTCTCACAAGAAATTGTTCATTAACTGACTGAAAAAATTCGCAATTTTGTATGTAAAGGTAAAGCACTTGACGGGAGGCCCCATTCGGTGTGCCCCTTTGTCGACTGTATTGAAAATTATCGTCAACAAAGTTAAAATATTCGTAACTTTGTACGTAAAACGCGTAAAGAAGCCCACATCCTTTACTTTACTTTTGTGACTGTTCGTTTCGCACACATCCTTTACCTTTTTTTCCGTCTGAACGCGCATGGCTTCTGCAGCGAAATTGCTCAGTCCTTTACATTTTTTATGTTTTTTTTTTTTTGGGTCTAATCTCTGATGATTTTTCTCAGTCGTCGTTTGTGTGTTTATTTTATTGAAATATGCCACCGATTTATCAAAATCCCTCATCCCTTCCTTTTCTCACTCCCTCACCGATTCTCTCTCGCCGTTTTCAGTCTCTCCAGCTGCAAACCCCTTGACATCGCATATACCAGCTGAGACCGTCGTCATCGTCACCGTATGAACAAATCTATGCTCAGAAACCAGAGATGAGAGCCCCAAGCCCGTCGCCAGCAGCCCCGTCTCAGAAAAGTGAGCCAAAATCTCGCGAGATTCAAGCTGCACACGAACGGATCCAAAGGCCGAACCTCCGATCTTGCTGAAAAACCGTGAATTTGGTGCCAATTCGAAGGAAATTTTAAGCCCAGAAAAGCCTTGGTTTCCTGGTGAGTTCTCCGGCCGATTTGGATTAGGTAATATTGTGATTTGCAGTTTACTTGATTATTACGTGGTATCTTTCAATTGCTTTATACTATTATGAATAGGGAAGTCTTACTTTCCTTAACATCATAATCCACGGTGCTTTTTTCTGAAAAATTCTTGCTTTGTATTCCACTCATTTACATTTGGAGCAAGTGAAACTTTTCTTTTAAAAATAAAAGAAAGCCCAACGGTGGAGAAGTTGGAGGGGACAATTGTTGCACGTTGTTTGGAAAAAAAATGTAAAAGAAGAGAGCACTTGCCTTTGTGGCTTTGAAAAGTGTGTGTGTTTTGTCGACTCGCTCTTGGAGCACTTGCCTGGTGCCTTCTCATTGAGTATTGGGGCATTAAAACACAGTTGTTTGTGTTTTGTCGACGTAATTGATGGTGTTCATGTTACACTGTGATTCATGATGATGATTTAATTGTTTCTCGATTTGTAATTGTTTGTGAATAATGTGGCATATATGAACTGCAAATCTGTGTTTGTATGAAAGGGATGTCATATCATGTTGCTGACTTAATTGTTTATGTTTTTCATATTTGCGAATGGTTCAAGAGAGACAGGGGAGGGGGGACAGATGGGAGAGGCAGAGAGTAGTGAGGGATGAGAGAGAGTGACAGTGTTGGGAGATGGGGGTGAAGTTTTTTTATGGGGAAAAGAAACCCTTGCTTTCTCTTCGTGTTCTCCTCCCACAATTTGTGCCCTTAGTTCTCAATTTGATTCACAGTAAAAACCCAGAAACTTGAGTTACGAAAATTTCAATTTTTTTGGTGTTTTTGATTTATTTTCAGTGTTAATTTCTGATTAAATTATTATTTTTGATAAACCCATTCAGAATCTGATCTTGCTTTTGCCTGGATTCCAGAGTAAAAACCTTGAAACTTGAAGGTATAAAAATTTCAATTTTTTTAATTTTTTTTAATTTTTTTTTTAATTTTCAGTGTTTCTCTGATTAATATTATTCTGGGTTTTGCATAAATGCTAATCTTGCTGAATACCTGCCATGTAAGTGATTTAATTTTTGCTTTTCGAATTTCTACTTTTCATGCATAATTATGAACATGTAGATGATTTACGGGTAATTTTTTTTTTTTTTTACTCAATCTCCAATTCAAAGTGAAGGATATTGAATTTTGTTATCATTTTTAAATTCAAGAAAGGCAGTCTGTGCTGCCTCTTCCGTTCTGATTTGAAGAAGATTTCTCAAGCGGCTGTAATTTCATGGCAGGTTGGTTTAAAGCAGTTCCAAAATTTGGGATCGTTTGGGATATTTTTCGGTTTTTCTGTCCCTCGAAAGCTGTGGGATTTGTTTTCTTCAATTTTAAAATATTACAATTGAATTCTTTGTTTGGGTAAAAATTTAATTAGATTCTGTATGGGTTCTGATGAGGCACTTAATTGGGTTTGAGAGTTTTGATATTATGAGAGAGGTAGAGAGTATATAGGGAGAGAGGGAGGTAGGTGATTTGCAAAAATGGAGGGTGAGAGAAAAACGGGAGAGAAGGGGTAGTACATTATATTTTGATTTTATAATTTTGGGGGTTTTGTGTTTAAACTTTTTTAGTACTGTTTTCGCAGATATAGCCTACAAATGTTGACCCAAAGGTTGTACATAACCATTACTTCCTATTACAATTATTAAAGTTAATTCAATTAACTAAAGTTGATTTGGACGTGATGATGATGGCAACTACTAACAACAAAACAACAATTTACCGTGTACATGTAAAGCAAAAGTATACAATAATTCTAAGGAGAAAGAACTCTGCTGCAAATGTCAGAGAGCCTTCGGTGTACATGTAAAGCAAAAGTATACAATAATTCCAATAATATTTTTCTTCTAACACTGTTAACTTACCTTGTTCCTTATTGTTAAGCATTTAGTTTTCAGTGATCTCTGGACAATCCCTACATATGCATTGCATTTGTATTTTAGTTTCACTTAGTTGAAGGTTTTGAAAAACTTCATTTAATAAATCCAAAATGCGTATTCCTTTAGGAACTGTTTGATAATCATTTGGTTTTTAGTTTCAATTTTTTGTTTAGATTTCTTTTTGGGCATTTACGATAACTTTACTTTAGTATATGTAGATTTATTATTAAAATTTAGTATAAATTTATATATTATCTTCTTCTTAGGTTCTTCAAGCATTTAGCTTCTTAGAATATCATTTTTGAAAAAAGTTGGAGTAGTGCATTTTATAGTGTGGTTGAAGTGGGATTTTTGAGACGGACTGGTGGATCTCTGAAAAGGAACTTGGTGGAGGTAATACTGAATTTAATAGAGTTGGGTGCTTTGCATCCATTGAACAAATTTTATAAACACTGAATTTAAAAATTGAATATATAAATAAAATAGTAGGTCAAATTCATTATTAGTTCTCTTAACTTCTGTTGAATAATTTATACTATTGTAGGTTTAATGAAATTATTTTTAGTTGATAATTAATTGATGATTTTGAAGTGTGTAATATCTTTTGAAATGTATATAAAAACCAAGCAACTTATCTTACCGATCCTGTTCACTCATCTATCCCTCTTTTCATTCAGGATTATGTTTAATTTATTCAGGTTAAATGTGTTTTATTCATGCAGTTAAGGCTTGTGCATTCAAGTCCTAAAAAGCATCGTCATTCGTCACGACTCCTCATTCCAAAGTCAACTGTTAATTTGTGAACAAGTTAATACTTATGAATCATGTAGCCTGTCAAACATTAATTGAATCTCTATCGAAAGAATCATTTGTTTGCAACAATCATCTGGTCGGCTTCTATGGCTAAAGAAGCAGCAGCAGCAGCAGCTGCCTCATCTTCTTCTCCTCCTCCTTGTTTCACCAATCCATGGACATCCGATGTATTCTTGAGTTTCAGAGGCGAGGACACGCGCTGCAATTTCACAGGCCATTTGTGTAGAGCTTTGCGTCAAAAAGGAATTAACACCTTCATGGATGATTGTCTTTCAAGAGGAGAAGAAATATCAACAGCGCTCCTCAAAGCGATTGAAGAGTCGAGGATTTCTGTCATTGTATTCTCCGAAAACTATGCTTCCTCAAGGTGGTGCTTGGACGAACTTGTTAAGATCCTTGACTGCGAGAAATCAAATCAACAAATGGTGATACCGGTATTTTACAAGGTGAGTCCCTCGGATGTTCGAAATCAGAAGGGTTGTTTTGGTGATGGACTTGCTGGCCTTGAGTGCAAATATAAGGATAACGTTGACAAGATCCACAAATGGAGGCCAGCTCTTTCAGAAGCAGGAAACTTGTCTGGGTGGACTCTCTTGGATAAGTATACATTATTACTTTAACACTTCCTTCTGCTTTCGCTTGTTTCGATTTCTCTACTCTTTTGGTATATATAGATTTAAATTTTTTGTGATAGGATCAAGAATCAAAAGACCCAACATGTCATTGATTTGTGGCATTGTCATCCATTTGTGCATATTTGGAGTCAAATTTAGCGTACAAATTAGTGTCTCTAGCATCCTTTGTCCAATCTTCTCAAACTATAAAAAAATGTTGCTTGTAAATATAACTAGAAGGACATTCTGTTCTACTTTTGTATGTGTGTATGTTTTCTTCCCTCTTTTAAAAAAACATGGGAAAGTGTCATTTATAAGATGTTTCTTGTGATTTTATACTCGCAGGCATGAAGATGAATCGAAACTTATTCATAACATTGTTGAAGGGATTTCCGCACGAGTAATAAACCGTACATATTTGGATGTGGCCGAATACCCAGTTGGAATAGAGTCTCGTGCACAAGAAATAAAAAACCGCTTACATGTCGGGAGAAATGATGTCCGTATGGTAGGTTTATGGGGGATGGGTGGAATTGGTAAATCAACAATTGCCAAAGCTGTTTATAATTTAATTTCCCACAAATTCGAAGGTAGTTGCTTTCTCAACAAGGTTAGAGAAAGTTCAATGACAGATAAAGGATTGGCCAAATTACAAAAGACACTTCTTTATGAGATTCTAGGGGGAGACAAGTTGAACGTGGCCAATGTTGATAAAGGAATCACTTTAATAAAGGAAAGATTAAGCAGTAAAAGGATTCTCTTAGTTCTTGATGATGTGAACGACATGAGACAGTTACGCTGCTTAGCTGGGGGATCAGATGGTTGGTTTGGCATTGGTAGTAGAATTATCATAACGACGAGGGATAAGAAACTGTTAACTGCTCATCATCATAATATTTCAATATACGAGGTGAAGAAATTGAACTATCATGAAGCTCTGGAGCTCTTCAGTTGGAATGCCTTCAAAAGCAATGGACCTTTGGATGGTTATGCGAAACTTGCAGACCATGCAATACGGTGTGCTCAAGGCCTTCCATTAGCTTTGAGAGTTTTAGGTTCACATCTGTACCGTGTAAGTATAGATCAGTGGCAAGCTATATTAGATGGTCTGATCAAAAGCCGAGAAATTCAAGACGTTTTCAAGATAAATTATGATGCATTGGATGAAATAGTGAAGGAAGTTTTTCTTGACATTGCGTGCTTCTTTAAAGGGGGAAGCAGTAACTATGTGATCGAAATATTAGAAGGTTGTGAGCTAAACCCCAAGCATAGCATTGACGTACTCATACAGAAGGCCCTCGTAAATATAGATCATGGTTTTATATGGATGCACGATTTGGTAGAAGAAATGGGTAAAGAAGTAGTTCGCCAACAATCACCCAATGATCCTGGAGAGCGCAGCAGATTGTGGTTTCATGACGATGTTTATCGTGTTCTGACAGAAAATACAGTAAGTCCATTCGACGACATTTTATTTGTTAATGAGACATGCATTTTGTTTTATAAGGAACTTGCATTGTTAATACCTTTGAATTTTCATACTAGGGAACGAAAAACATTACAGGCATAAAGGTACAGCTGCTTGAATCGGATAATGAGATATGCTTAAGTGCTACAACCTTCTCCAACATGAAAAATCTTAAAATTTTCATAAACTGTAATGGACGGTTTTCTGGAGCCGTTGATTACCTCCCCAACAACTTAAGGTTAGTTGATTGGCCTGAATGTCCGTTGAAATCTTTGCCGCTCAATTTTAATCCGAAGAATCTTGTTGTACTCAACATGAGGAACAGCCAGATCACAGGATTCCGGGAGGGATTTAAGGTATATACGTTGATTTTTTTCTTTCTGTTTTATTTAAGGCTAAAGAGTCTTTCTTTTTTCTGTGTCCCTTTTGGAATGTTTTCATCCTTTCCTCTCTTTTTTTCTTCACAGAACCTGACGAAGCTGATTTTATCTGGCTGTCAATACTTAACAAGAATCTCCGACTTCTCCGGAGTTCCAAACTTAGTGACGTTGGATCTAAATGGTTGCACAAATTTAACTGAGGTTGATCCATCAGTTCGATTTCTTGATAAACTTGAAGAACTATGTCTTGTTAACTGCTATAACCTTGCAGTGTTTCCAACAACAATAAGCTGGAAATCTCTGAGAACTTTTAATCTTGGCGGTTGCAAAAAGTTTGAGATATTCCCGGAAATTGTGGGCAAAATGGAAAGGCTAGAGGATTTGCCACTTGGAGGAACTGCTATAAAAGAATTGCCTCCATCAATTAAAAATCTCATCGGGCTTAAACGCTTATCATTAGATAGATGTAAAAACTTTGCAAATCTACCGCAAAGCATCTATGCGCTGCCCCGTCTTGAATATCTCCGTCTCCGTCAGTGCGCAAAGCTTGTTACACTCCCTCCGGATCTTCCAACGACCTCAAACATTTCACCTGACAACTTTGGGTCAGTAGCAATTCCCAATCTAGGGACTATGCTTTTTGATGAATGCAACTTATCGGACATTGATACCCTTGCAAATTTCGGTTGCTCATCTAAATTAAAAGAAATTCTTCTACATGCTAGCAATATTGAGAGTCTTCCTGCATGCATTGGCAAATTTGTGTGGTTGGAGATTCTTAGTTTGTTTGGTTGCAAGAAACTTCGAGAAATTTCAGAACTTCCACCAAAGATAAGATGGATTGACGTTGGCGATTGCACATTACTGGAAATATTTCCAACGTTGTCGGAGATGATACGGGGAGATGGAGACGTGAGACTCATTCGTTGGATGCAAATGTCTAGTTGCCAAAGGCTGTGCGAAAAGTTGGCTTTGGACGTCTCCATGATGGCAAGCGTATTACTGCATCAGGCACTTTTCTCTCTTTCTCTTTTCCATTTTTCCACTCTTCCACTATGAACGACTAATTAACATTTCATTATATGAATCTTACAGGCGGGGAAGTGCAATGAAGCGATAAGTATTGTACTTCCAGGCAGTGAAGTTCCAAATTGGTTCAGTTGCCGTAAGGACGTACGTGTGAAGTTCCGAACTGGTCGTTCATATGAAATTTTTATTGAAATCCCTCGGACTTTCAAATGGAAAAACACAGTACTTGTTTTCTGTGCTGCTTTCAAAATCACGCAAAATTTTTCAGGAACATGCTGGTTTTGTACATGGGCTGAAGTCGATGGAGTATCTATAAATGACCCAGACCGGACTGATTGTTTGTTTCAAACAAATGAGATAGATGCAGCTCATGTGTGGCTAAAATATATTCCATTACCAGCTCGCATAAAGTCGCACGTGGATGAGGGTGGTGACCAATCAGAGCCGTATCTGTGGAAAAGTGTACATGAGGGTGGTGACCAATCAAAGCCGTATCTGTGTCAAGTTACACTTTTCCACAGAGACGGAGATGGGTTGCTCTTAAATGGCTACGGTGTCCACTTGGGAAATTTCAGGAGGCCCGAGGATGGTGGTGAAGATGACGACGATGTAGGAGGCGAGGATGGTGATGAAGATGACGACGATGTAGGAGATGGTGATGAAGATGACGACGATGAAGGAGGCGAGGATGGTGATGAAGATGACGACGATAGGAGGCGAGGATGGTGATGAAGATGACGACGAGGCGAGGATGGTGATGAAGATGACGACGATGTAGGAGATGGTGATGAAGATGACGACGATGTAGGAGGCGAGGATGGTGATGAAGATGACGACGATGTAGGAGGCGAAGTTGGACCAAGAAAAAGGAAAAGGATGTTGGCGATCAAGAGTTGAATGTGAGTTGCAACATTTTCAAATCTCTAATCATGTTTTTATGATGGTCATTCTTGTTTTGAAAGGATTTCTTCTGCTAACTCAACAAGTGTGTGGTTTTATACAAAGTGCAAACAGTGAAACCATGAAATATAAACTGTATTCATTTCGGTCAGGTTTCCGACGTGGGACTTCACATTCTTCAACGCGTCCAAGAAGGCCATTGATATACGATTCCTCTCATCTCTCTCTTGTGTTTAAGGCAAGGATTTGGCTCCATTTTAACGCTCTCTCCTGTTTTTCTTCTGTTTGTTTTAATTTCTTAGAGATTAACGCTTTGTGATTTTCGTTTACGGAAAACTAATCTCCATAGCTACGGCTAGGAGATAAACCTACACTATAACTATCTACTTTTATTATTTTGATTTTATTTTTGATTTTCAATGTCAATTTTATATTGTGGAATTTCTTATTTAATCTATTTTCAATGTTTCCACATCATCTAGCTGGTTGTGTTTAAGGAACATCAACAATGCCAACAATTAGGATACAACTATATGTATGTTGGACGGTTAGGCTTTTCCGACGAAAACGCCCCAAAGTTTGTTGCATTTCCCGTTGACAAGCCTCAAAGCTTCACCGATTCTGTCAACGCTTACATACCCGTTGACCAACAACGATTTTATTTGTGCACAAATTTAACTGACGTTGGATCTAAATGGGTGCACAAATCGGGGGGCCTTTTCCATCCCACCCCCCCCCCCTCCCCCCCGATTGGCACAATGCATATATTAGTGTGTCCCCTCCCCCCCGATTGGCACAATGCATAAATTAGTGTGTTGTACAGGACAACATTAGGCTTGACTCCTTGATCTACCATTCCTTAAAAAAGAGAGAGCACTTCTTCCCAGCGACTCGTGTTGCATAACCCATGAATCAATGTGTTATAATTGAAAACATTCGGTACAACACTTTTGCTGATCATATCTCGAAATAGGGTCAAGGCCTCGTCTATTCGTCTTTCTTTACAGAGGTTATCAATGATTGGATTGTAGCATTCTTGGTTGGGCTTGAACCTTCCATCTTCCCACATCTTCATTAGTATCTCGAGTGCCTTAGAAGTTTTCCCAGCCTTGCATAACCCATTGATCATGGTAGCATAAGTGATTTCATTGCATGTGTATCCCTTTTCTTCTATTAACTTGAACAGCTCCATTGCCTCGGCCAGAGAACTATTCTTGCATAGTCCATTGAGCAAAGTATTTATAGAATGAGCATCGGGTTGAAGACCGTATTTAAGGGTAATTGCTAAAACAGAGAAACCCAAATCCACCCGGTTCAGACGGCACACGCAATTCAGAAAAATAGTCATCGTACTGACATCAGGTCGGAATTGAGCGCAACCCATCAACTGTTTACACATAGAAACCACGGAAAAATATTGCTTCATCTTGGAGAGTGCCCCAAACAAACAATTGAAAGTCCAAATAGAGGGCAAGGGTTTGGTTTGAATCATGGAATCGAAGTAACCCAATGCTTCATCTTTCCTAATATTTCCAGATTTGCATCGAGTTTGAATCAATTTGTCAGATTCCGAATGGGTTCGTTTAAATCTATCTGTACTAGTAGCATTAGTATTACCAGCAGCGGACTGAAATCCATCTTTTTTGTGCAGAAAGGTAAAAATGAATGAAGGATTACCTGTTGAGTGAGGAAGTCTCGTGGTTATCACCTTTATCTTCATCTTCCACAGATTCAGCCCAGTTCATGAAATCCCATGAATTTCAATCCTTCATGTAGAAAAAGGTATGTAGGCTAAAAATATATTTGTTATTGATACATGAATCTGGAAAAATGGAAGAGAATGCAAATGGAAGAGAATGCTTATGGACAAGGACGGATCCACATAGGGACCAGGGAGGTCCCAGGACCCGTTGGCAATCCTAAATCGTTGCTATAAATTTTCCGGGGACCCCTCGTACTCGAGCATGAGGTCTGTGTAGGTTGCAGTGGTTGTCTTCTTCACGGAGAAGATGACCGCGCAGGGAGAAGAAAGAAATAGGGACCCTCCTACCTCTCTCCTCCTTGCTTCTGCCATGGTCTCATCCGTCGGTGCCACCCACTTCTCCTCCAACCTTTCTCTGTCATCTAGCGGGGGCAGTACATAAGCCCAAACTTCCCAAATTATTTCAACCATCTTAGTAATTTTTCGTATGGGTGAAATTTCCTTCATAAGGTTAGTAAGATGGATATGATCTGTCATGGGTTGGTGAAATTTGGTGGTGGAGCTACCATGGCTTCGGGAGAATGGGGAGGGAGGCGGTTGGTGGAGGTATGACAGCTTTGTTCTTAGAGAAGGTGGATGTTTGGAAACTAGTAAAAGAGAAAAATGGTGTGTTTGGTTAGAAAGATAGTGGGAGTTTGGGGAGAGTTTTATTTGACTGGTGTTTTAAAATGGGGTGTGCTATCCACACACCCTCTTAATTTGCGGCCGTCAGATCGACTGAATTAAAGAAGATCAAATGACAAAAATAAACAAAGGGTGTGTGAGAAGCAAAAAGGGGTGTGTGAATAGCACACCCCTTTAAATTTAGTGCTTCATATTAGATAATCAATAACTTAGGTACTTCCTAGTAACTTATGAAACCTCGTAATGGACACTTGAATTATGATTTTATAATTTGTAATATTGTTTTGCATATGATTTTTGAATGAAATGTATTATATTTAAATTTTCAATGTTATTTTTGTCTATAATTTTTTTGACCTTAATAATTGGGACCCCCCGAGTTTAAAATCCTGGATCCGCCACTGCTTATGGAAGAGAATGCTTATTTTTTCATTATGTTTCTCTACAAGATTACAAGGATATATATACATGATACAAATGTGTAGGTAGGACAAGGTAGGACGGCTAGTAGACAAGCTAGGACGGCTAGGAGACAAGCTAGGACGGCTAGTGACAAGCTAGGACGGCTAATGACAAGCTAGGACGGCTAGTGACAAGCTAGGACGGCTAGTGACAAGCTAGGACGGCTAGGAGACAAGCTAGGACGGCTTGACGGCTGTAGGACGGCTTATTCTTCCAATACTAATATTATATACAATTACACAAGGATTCCAACCATATTCCTTATTTGTCTAACACTCCCCCTCAAGTTGGAGAGTGGATGTCAAGAACTCCCAACTTGCGTAACATACCCGAAAACTTTTCTTTCCCAAGAGGTTTGGTAAACAAGTCTGCCAACTGTTGTGCCGTACCCACATGCTTGGTCTCTATTGTACCATCTACAATCTTATCTCGTATAAAGTGACAATCCATCTCAATGTGACGAGTTCGTTCATGAAAAACAGGATTGGCAGCTATATGTAACGCTGCTTGATTATCACAAAATAAAATGGAAGGACCATCCAAAGGAATGTTCAAATCCTTCAACAAAAAACGAAGTCAAACTATCTCGCAACAAGCACCTGCCATGGCCCTATATTCCGCCTCTGCTGAAGAGAGCGAAACGATTTTCTGTCGTTTCGTCCGCCAAGAAATCAAAGAACCGCCCAAGAATACACAATACCCAGTAGTCGAACGGCGAGTAATAGGGCAACCTGCCCAATCAGAATCACAAAACGCAATTAACTTGATCTGGTTGTCAGAACGAAATAATAAACCTTGACCTGGAGTAGCCTTCAAATAACGAACAATACGAAGCGCAGCATCCATATGAGATATCCTTGGCTCGTGCATAAAACGGCTTAGAACATGCACAGAATAGGTGATATCCGGCCGAGTGATAGTGAGATATATTAACCGACCTACTAATCGTCGATAATTTTCAGGATCCTTGAGAAGTTCTCCTTTATCAGATAATTTTGTGTCATCCATAGGAAAAGCAATGGGTCGTGCTCCCAAAAAACCATAGTCCTTGAGAATCTCTAATGCATACTTGCGTTGACAAATATAAATCCCTTGTTTGGAACGAGAAACCTTAATACCCAAAAAATATTTTAAATCACCAAGGTCTTTTATCCGAAAATGATCACGGAGAAAAGACTTCAGAGAATTAATGGCACTAGCATCATTGCCTGTAATCACAATATCATCCACATAAATGAGCAAAGCTATGAAAGAAATACCAGACTTTTTAATGAACAATGAATAGTCAGCTTTGGATTGTTGAAAACCGGCAGAAATGATGGCACTAGTGAATTTGGCAAACCATTGGCGAGAAGCCTGCTTAAGACCATAAAGTGACTTGTGAATGCGACACACAAGATTCTCCCCCTGTCGCCGAAGACCAGGAGGAGGAGACATATAGATTTCTTCATGTAAGTCACCATGTAAGAAAGCATTATTAACATCAAGCTGATGAAGAGACCAAGACTGACTAGCAGCAAGAGCAAGAAGACAACGCACCGTAATCATCTTAGCAGTAGGAGAAAAAGTGTCATGATAATCAATACCTTCAGCCTGAGTGAAGCCTTTAACAACCAAACGAGCTTTGTAGCGGTCAATAGAGCCGTCGGAATTGTGCTTGAGTTTGTACACCCACTTACAACCAATGGGAATTTTGCCAGGGGGCAAGGAAGTTAAAGTCCAAGTACCCTTAGCATGTAAAGCTTGAAGCTCCTCAGTCATAGCACGTTGCCAATTGGGGTCAGTGGCAGCCTCGGCAAAGGAGGAAGGCTCCATAGTCCGACTGACAGAGTTAATGTAAGAAAAATGCCTGGGAGAGTAACGGTGATAAGAGAGAAAATTACAAAGTGGATATCGCGTACCTTGTGTAGAACCGGGTTGCGAAGTCGAAGATGGGTGGGATGGCAGAATCACCTGCGAGCAAACGTAGTCTTTTAAATAGGATGGAGGTTTATGGGCACGGGAAGAGGTGCGGGGAAGGGGAGGATTGGTAGGTAGTGGGGGGGTAGGGATGTCCGTGGGTAAAAGGGTGAAAGGTAAGGAAGTAGCGGGGGGGGGGGGGAAGGAGGGGATGCCGAGAGGGCAGGGGCATGGGGAGGAACGGGTAATGGGGCAGCAAGGGAATTTGTGGGAGGCGTGGAAGGGGAGGAAGGTGGAGGAGGGTGAGGCGTCGGGGCAGGAAGGGGTGGGTTATATGTAAAGTCCAGAGGGGGTGGGATGGGTAGGGTAGGCGAAGAGGATGGGATAGGAGGGTGAGAAACGGCATAAGGGAAAGTACTTTCGTGAAAGATGACGTCTCGACTAGTGAAAATGCGGTGATTGTCGAGATCGTAAAGGGTATAGGCCTTTTGTCCATGAGGATAACCGAGAAAAATGCAACGATGAGCCTGAGGGGAAAATTTGGTGGTGGGAGTGACAGAGGTGGCATATGCCAGACAACCAAAGACGCGGAAGTGGTCATAAGATGGGGTTTTCGAAAAGAGAACCTCAAATGGGGATTTATGATGGAGAAGACGGGTAGGGAGACGATTGATGAGATAAGTAGCGGTAAGAACACATTCCCCCCAAAACTTGATAGGAAGATGGGATTGAAAACGAAGGGCGCGAGCGGTTTCAAGAAGATGACGATGTTTTCTTTCAACAACGCCATTTTGTTGGGGGGTATAAACACAAGAAGTTTGTAAAAGCACCCCATGATCAGAGAAAAAACTACGAAGAGATAAAAATTCACCACCATTGTCAGTACGAATGCATTGGATGGTAGTGCGGAATTGGGTAGTGACATAAGCAAAAAAATCCTTAATTAATTGTTGAGTGTCGGATTTATGTTTCATGAGGAAGACCCACGTAAAGCGAGAAAAATCATCCACAATGGTTAAGAAATAATTAGCACCAGAAAGAGAAGATTGACGATTCGGGCCCCAAATATCACAATGAATTAAAGCAAAAGGGAAAGTTGATGAAATTGAACTCAAAGGAAAAGGTTGACGAGTTTGTTTTGCCAACGGACAAACATCACAAATATGACTAGAATCAAAAGTGCAATTAAGAGAGCTAGATGCTAAAGCTTGCAAACGAGTGGAGGAGAGGATGGTAATGATGTTGCAGAGAGGTTGACGGGTGGGGAGAGAAGAGGTAAGGGCCACAAGGTAATACAGATCGCCACGTCGCTTACCCACACCAATCATCGCCTTCGAAACCAAGTCCTGCAAAACACACCAAGAAGGAAAGAAGGTTATGGAACACGATAATCCATCTGTAAGTTTACCAACCGATAAAAGGTCCACTCGGAAATTAGGGACACATAAAACATCCTTCAAAGTAACTGAGGAATTTAAAGGAAGAGTGCCGGTAAAAGTAATGGGAGCGGAAGCACCACTAGGCAAAGAAACAGGCGGCAAATGTGAAGGAGAACGATTAACCAAACATGAAGCGAAAGAAGTAATATGATCCGTAGCACCACTGTCAAGAATCCATTGACCATGACGAGAGGTGACAGGTAACAAACCTTGGGCAAAATCAGTAGTGAGCACGGCATTGGCCTGAGGAGGGGTGGTGGTGTCACGTAGAGCAGCTAGAACACGGGAGTGCTGCTCGGCAGAGAGGTCAGGCATGGCAAGCTGCAAGTCATGTAAAGTGGGCTGGGTCCCGTGCACTTGGTGAGTCGCTGGAGTAGAAGAGGAGGCGGGGGCCTGGGTGCCTTGCACGTGATGGGCCTGGGTGAAATTATGGGGTCGGGAAGCAGAAAACCGTGGCTGCTGGGGAGGACTGGAAGGTGCATGGCTGCGGGAAGAACTGGAAGCAGTGGCACGGCGCGGTGGTCGCCACAGTTGGCCATGGAGGGGATGGCCAACGGGATAGCCATGAAGTTTATGGC